TGAGGGAAGCAGGATCAAGAAGATCGCGGGTTCAAGGGTTAGGGTTACATCATTTCCTCATCCAACTCATTCCAATGTTCGCCCCTAGTCCCTTCTCAAATTCAAGACCTCTTACTGTTACCGTTACATGTGTATATACATGTACACACACACACACACACACACACACACACACACACACACACACACACGTATTGGATAACCAATTACAGGGCTCGTCCCTGGGGAAGGCTCTCACAGCACTCATGGGTTTTTTTGTTTTTTGGGGTTATTTGTTTGTTTCTTTTTGCTTTTGCTTTTTTGCCTAATACAACAGACACTGGCCGGCCGATAACAGCACAGGACAAGCACTGTGTCTGAGTTTATCCACTGCTAACTAGATGGCACTTGTGACCCAGAACACAAGTTTCCCAGGAAGATGAGAAAGCAGCAAGCAGTTGAGTGGCTAAGAGTCGAGGGTGAGAAGTTCAAGGCCCAGCCCTTCCACTTATGGGGATGGCCTGAGGTTCTCAGAGAGAGCACCGTACATGCTACATAAATGCTACCTCCAGATTTGCATCATCAAGATATCGGTACTTCCTACACCACGATAAAAGCTCACACGTGTAAATAACTGTGCACGCTGCTTTGGGGAGCGTTTGGCTGTCTTACAGTTCTTACTATGTGGTTGTCTGGAATGCACACATCTGTGAGCTTCTGCCTCAGCAGTCCTGGAATTGACGGTGTGTACAGGCTCTCTCATTCTGTAGCCCAGGCTAGCGTCTAACCCACAGTGCTTGTCCTGCCCTCAGTCTGCTGAGATGGGGATACGGGTGTGAATCGGCACGGCAGCCTCTGAACCACACGTCTAACTTGGCGTCAACAGGGTTCCTGCGTACTGTCTTACTGTAGGTGACTGCAGCGTATGCCTCTTCGGAACGTGTGCTCTGAGCAGACCAAGAGCTGCTGTGGCGGCATCTTCTCGGCGCCCAGAGTAAACATCTAGAATGTGGGTAGCAGTCTCACACACAAATTCTTTCCTCTCCACTCAACCAAATTCAGGGCACTGCTCATGTACGGATGGGCCCTAACATCCGAACGCACTAGGAACTACAGGAAAGGGACCTGCTGTTGATTATCTAGCTGGAGATGGGCCTCCACCCTGCTTCCTGCATTTGGGACATTTCTGTTTGTCAGAATTCTACCAGAGGGTGGAGAAGGGTGGACTGAGAGGGAAAGCTCGGGACAGGGCAGTTGTCAGCGAACCAACATATCTGATTTAAAGTTATAGCCAAAATGAGGTTTTACCTTATCTGAGGATCTCAAAGAGCACATCCCTAACCGGGGTCTCAGGTTACTTAGATAAAAAAAACACTGACGGGTGAGGGAGGTCTAGAGCACAGGGTGCAGGATATCATCTTCCCACGGCTCTGGGCTGCCTTCCTTCTCTAGTAACACGAAAGAGCCAGGGATGACCTGACCTGGGTCACATCACTCCACATGACTGCATCTCAGCGGGTGCGGAGTAGCATCCTTGGCAAGGGCTTGACATCCAAGGAGAGTTTGAAGCAGAACATACCAAGATAAGATCAGTAAGGACACAGGAACAGGCAGCCAGATGACTTGCATGTCAATACCTCAGGGTAAGGCCATCTACAAACCAAGCCAGAGTGTCGTGACACACAAATCTTTCAGAGAAAGGCTCTTACGTTTTGGTGGCATATTCTCTTAGCACTGGGCCGTTAGGACGCTGTCTTTAACACAGCTGACAGTCCCGAGTTCGAATTCCTTCAGGAATCCAAAAGCAACTTGGACGTGAGATGGGGCTCGGTTCTGGCACTGCTGCCCGGTAAGCACACGTTTTAAACCTGCGGCTCTCTCAACTAGTCTCCGTCACGGAAAGCAAACTGCATTTGTGAAGATTCTCAATCACAACCAAAACTCAAAGATGACTTTTCCTTCAGCTAGGAATGTCAACAGCAGTATCTGCGCCACTCACAAAGTCTGCTGAGTTGGGGTGAAGGACTCTAAAATCTATCTAGTCCAACCCACTAACAGAGCACGAGCCCCCAGGTCCAGAGGAGCAGCCACAAACCAAGCAGATCCAAGTAGCTGCCAGAATGCACGCTAGCACTAAGGACTTTAACTCCACCTATTCCCCCTCCCCAACAACTCTAAATACTGAGCCCACTCCTCACACGAGGAAACCGAGGTCTATGAAGGTTAAGTCACACACCTAAGAATGCACAGTTGGTAAGCGTCAGAGCCAGAAACACAACCCATGCTCTGAACTGATAAACGTCAAGGATTTAAAACTAGAACCCTACCCTCTCCAATATAAATAATTCTACAGCTCATGAGTTAGCTAAGCATATTCTGAAAGGCCTACAAAACAATTTTTGTAAACCTTTTAAAACAGCAATCAAATTTTTTTTGTTTGTTTTTTTGAGACAGGGTTTCTCTATGGCTTTGGAACCTGTCCTGGAACTAGCTCTTGTAGACCAGGCTGGTCTCAAACTCACAAAGACCCACCTGCCTCCCGAGTGCTAGGATTAAAGGCGTGCACCACTAACGTCGGACCCAAATGTTTTGTTTTTTTTTTTAACCCAAGAAACTTGAAAAACATTAGATTATTGGTGTCATAAAAAAGCATTACAGTGATGTAGGAAACAATTCCTAGTTCCTAAAAATAAATACTAGATGTATAGAGGTGAGATGTGTTAAAAAGGCCCGAGACTCACAATCACCAGGAAGGGAGGGAAGGTGAGAAGCCAAATTTGGCAAAAATCCTGGTAATTATTTAGTCCAGATGACGAAGCAAAGGAGTCTCGATTTTTGTGCATTTACTCCTAAGCTCCTCAAATTGCTATAAAGTGGTTCCGAAGAACCCTCGGGTGGGACGCAGTCCCTTCCTACTTCAAAGCCCTTATCATAGTAGTAGCCTTTCTTGTGCACTGAACTGCTTTACCCATCAGTAAGTGAAGCCGGGGAGGAGCTGCTTAGATCCGTACCTCGCCAATTGTCTCAGGCCATCTTCAGGACTGTCTTACGAGTCAGCCGGCGAAAGCCATGCACTGAGCATTTTGTACGCTGTGGGCATCAGGCTAGCACTAACCCAAGTTACCACAGGCAGAGCGGACCAATACCTCCATCTAAGCATGTACAGAGGGACCGAGGTGTGGCTGCTGATCGGATCACCTCAGGTCCTCATAGGTCAGAGATGGGCCAGAGTTTATGTGACAGGTGCTGTGTCTTCCCGGCAGACACAGGAGCAGCGTGGGTCATTTTTAGTATCCGTGACAGATCCCCCAGGCTCCTCCCCTGAACTACTTTCCCTATCCAGACGGGAGAACTTCCCTGCACCAAAGCTGGCTCACCGGCTCCCTCGTATTTTGTAATTGCATGACACATTTCATCAGACAAGCGGCCACAGACAGACAGACAAGATTAGGAGTTGAGACACCAGCAAGGTGCCTGGCTGTTTACATTGAAGACTGTCTAAGGAAAATATGCGCCATTTAATGTGTCATTGCATCAATGTCCCACATGGGAGGGCACTATAGTCAACAGGCCACCGTCGGCAGGACACATACGGTCACCGACTGGAGTACACAGGCGACTACTGGTACCGTGCCTATGTGGTCATCCTGTGTCCTCCCTAAACGGCTTATAAAACTGGTAACTTCCCTTCAGGGAGTGGGGGGACACTATGAAGATCACAGTGCTGAAAGATGTTTCGTTGATTATGCTTTTTCCTAACATCCCTGATGAACACAGCAGCCCAACAAGAAAGAGATCTGTCTGAGAGGAGAGACGGATGGCATCTCCAGAAAGTTAACAAGCAATGGTGTTCCAGCAACAGAAGTTAGCAAGAGTTATCCAAGAGATGGCCTGTTCCTTCTGTCCCCAGCTTCTGCTCTATTCTTCAACTGATAGAATTCTATGAAAGTGAAAACACATACACACACACACACACACCTGTTTATTGCAGATCAAACTGAAGTTTGAAAGATCTCGGATAAGTTGGCAGGGCTGGCTCAGAATGAGCAGACTGGACATGGAAATCAACACCAACCTCCATCAACATCATTCATGCAATCCTGTCTGCCCAGGAGGGGCATCGATCTGCCACTTAAACCGAAGCATCTGCCCTGTGTCGCAAACAATGCCCCTTGGCAGCCCCACACATGGCACCACAAAGGCCACAGACGATTGCTTTCAAGGCCCATGTTCCAACAAACACACCCACAAACAAGTTCCCCTCAAGAAAACAAACGCCAAGGGCTGCTAAAAGTTTCCAGCTGCCCTGTGGAACTCCGTCCAGCCCAGAGTGCTGCTCTCCCGGCACCAGCCCAACGATCTGAGCGTGCCCTCTTTTCCAAATACAGCAGGGCCGTCCCTGGCTGTGGAAAAGTTGATTTTAAAAAACTTCACCTTCCTCACACCCAGAGGCCTCTTCTCCCAAGAGCTGCTGCCAAGAATAGGTTTATCCTGGTTTGCCTTGCTCTGCTGGTAGCCTCAAATCCCCAGACTTCAAAGCAATTTGTACCGAGGATGAAACCAGCAAGCCCACCCCTTAAACGATCGTAAGAAGCTCACGACTCTGGACAGAGCTCTGCCCACCCAAAACATCCGCGCGAGATGCTCCACGCTGCACCCCCCGCACCCCCCCCCCGGCTGGATGGGAAAGACCCCACTTCATCTTAGACGCTGCCGGGCCGGGGCACCTGCCAAGGCCCCCAGGACACTGACGATGGGGTGAAGGACGGAGTAACTTCCCACAGGCAGAGGACAGGTAACGTGGGGGCAGGGAAGTGGACAGAGGGCGGAAATTTCCCAGGAAGAGAGGAACAGCCCCGGGAGGGAGGGCGAGCTGGGACTCTGGAAGTTGCGCCCCTCCCCGCCCCCGAGAGCTCTCCCCGCCGCCCTGCCGGCCCACCGGCCTCCTTTCCCTCCCTCCCTGCTCCGGATCCACCCGAGCCCTAGCCGGGCCCGCCCGCCACCTGCGCGCCCTGGCTCACCAGGAGCACCGAGCCGCGCACCACCTCCGACACGCTCTGCCGCAGCTCCGCCGCCGTGCCGGGCTTGCTCAGCGCCCGGGTGAACTTCCGAGTCTCCGCCGCCGCGGGGAGCGGCTGCTGCGCCATCCTCCGGCCGCCGCCGCGGGCCCCGGAGCGCGCGGTCCGGCCCGGTCGAGCCGCCGCCAGGTGCGCCCCCGGCACGCGAACCCGGGTCCCCGCCGGGTCGCCAGGCGCAGCAGCCCAGGCCACGCCCTCTGTGCCGCGTCACGCCCCGAGGTGTCCTCCTCGGGATCCTGCGCCTGCGGCGGCGCCCGGGCTCGCTCGGGACGGTCTTGCGCGCGGCGCCCGCTGCGGCTCCCCCATGCCACCAACCTCGGTGAGCGGCCGCCTCCTAGGGGCGGGGTGTCCGGTGGGGCGGGGCGGGGCGGGGCGGGCGGTGAGGGGGGGGAGCGGGAACCCGGGGCCAGCTCCGGAGGGCAGGGACCCTGCGCGCCTGCAGGAAGATCCCCAAAGACAACCCTGGAGACCTCATGGAGCCCTTGAGGGTGCGCGCTCGGTGACACCGGCTTCCAGCAAAGTAGTGTGTATTTATGTGACACGCAGAAGACACTGCAGACCGTGGCCGGGTGGATCAGGGTCCGACTTCGTCGGGCTTGCCTGCGGTGGGACTGACCACGACAGGCTTGGACCCAGCGCGGGACCTAGGCCCGCGTGCTGCGTCACCCTGGGCGCCTGGGACTCCTGGACTCCGCGGGCTGCAAGGGGCTGGTGTGAGTCAGCGGCACCGCCATCCGTCTACACCCGCTGCCGAGCCTGGGGACCCCGTGCCTCCGACAGGACCGTCTAGCGCAGCCTTCCCCGCCTTCCCCCAACGCGCCCTTCTCTCCCCTAAAGCGTGGGGGCACAGCCTAACCCTAGCCAGGTGGGGGGACCGCGGGTGGAACCCGAGCTTTGCGCTCCGCCTATAGCGCATGCTCTGTGGCTTCGGTCTGGGCGGGTTCTCCTGCCCAAAGCCGGTCTTCAGGGAGGCTCCACTGATTGGTCCAGTTGCTCAAGCCACACCCACCACCCGGATGGACAGCGTCTTACCTGCCCCGGTTAGACACCTACCCGGCTTGGTGGCCTTGGTAACCACGGGCGTGGCAGGGCGGTGTCTCAGGCCACCTCCTGATCAAGTTTCCAGGGACTTTTTGGGAAAAATTGGAATTTCGAACCACCTGGCCAAAGAGCCAAAGCCATGGTCTAAAGCTGATTTTAAAGTGGAAGGGCGAAAATATCTAGTTTAGAAGGCGAAACACCTCCCTGAGCATGCCTGACACATTAAGGGAGTGCAGTTGGTACTCAGTAAATGCTTGCTGGAATGGATTTGTTTTTTATCTGAGATTAGTCCACATGATGTAACGCTGAATGAGCCTGCCGGGCTGAGAGATGTTTTTGTTTTTTTTTTTTTTTAATCCCTTGTTTAAGATTTTTTTTTTTTTTTTAGTTGTGGTTACATGTGTGGGTCTGTGCACCTGAGAAGTGCTGGCCAGATCTTTTGGATTTTTTTAAAATTATTATTACACATCAGATTATTTTCTCCCACCCTGCTTTTTGTGGGGAAACTATCTCTACTTTGTCCATGCTACGCTGTTATAGGAGTTGAGATACTAGTCTGAACTCAACTACCTAGCATGTCATGGGCAAAGCAAACTGGACAAAGCCGTTTCACAACGGTTCTTACAGGTCTTAACTAGAAGCGATTTGGGTCTGGCTTGTAGGTCAGTCTGCAAAGATAGTGAGTTCTCTCCAGTTATATTTTTCTGTTTGATTTTGTGTTTTCTTGAAACAAGGGGCTCCTGTAGCCCAGGCTGTCCTCAAAAAAAAAAAAAAAAAAAAAAAAAATCACAGTCGGTCCAGCATGATGGTGCACACCTCTAATCCCGGTAATCCCAGCACTCAGAAGGCAGTGACAGGCAGATATTGAGTTCACAGCCTGGTCTACATGGCCAGCTGGGCTCTGTAGAGAGACAAGAAAGGAAGAAAGGAAGGAAGGAAGGAAGGAAGGAAGGAAGGAAGGAAGGAAGGAAGGAAACCCAGAACTGCATTACCCTGTCACCAACTCTTTCCTGGAGAGGCAGACTGATAATAGAGGGAGGTCCGTCGGCTCAAGAAAAGGTGCGTAAGTGACATTGTTCGTAGATAATGACTTGAGATCTTTCTGGAGAGCGAGCAAATGGCCTCTCCCTGCAAACTGGGCACCAACCGCAAACCCAAGTACCATTATGTGGAAGTCCAGCCTGGAGGAACAATGACTTTACCGGCTCATTTACTTATCTAAGGAGTTCTTACAGGAGCATGGCTCTCTCAAAGCAACTGCATCGCCCTCACGGCTCAGTGCAGCAAGAGCCACGAGTTCCGGAATGTTCCACACACCATAAAGGCTATCTCCTCGAGAGGGGGCAAGGGTCATGTGTATCTAGGGCAGAATTGCAAGAGAGAGTGGCTGGAATCTCCCTGGGGGGGAAGTCAGTGTACCCGCCCATTTCTCCCATGGGGAAAGGCCAGGGGTCGCAAGCGCTCATCTTGATGAAGCCCCCAGCTGCTCTGATAAAGACAGTGGTCCTTAGCTCCAAAGACACACACACCTACAAGTCAGACGCTCCCGGTGGGTGGTGTTTAGGGTGTGGCAGAAGATGCCACAGTCTGTTTTATCTTGAGGGAAGAGCCCGATCTTTCCCAAAACCAAAAGAAAGTTTCCTCTGTGTTGGTGACGAGTCTGGAAATACTGAAGACGTAATTATACTCGGCGGTGAATGACTCGTGCAGGCAAGTATTTACAGTTCAAGCATTCACCCATCTCTTAATGGCCTTTCTGCATCGTGTCTATTTCATCTTAAGACACGCACGTTCTAATGATATGTTAGGTCTTCTGAAAGTGCCTCCCCTATTGTAAAAGACCTTGATTCATGATGCACCTGCCTCGGGCTCCGGTGCTGAGATGGTGAACATGCATTCACTCCACACCTGGAAATACGGTTCTCCTTAAATCTCTTTCAGGTGCATCTTGAAAGAGCATATATATTTTCAGAAAGAAAGAAAAAAAAAAAAAAAGATGCAACCCGTTAAGAGTGAGTGGGTACTCCTGGGAGCTGGCGAGATGGCTGCTCTTCCAGAGGACTGGGGTTTTAATTCCCGGCATTCTCATGGAGGCTCACAACTGGGTCCCCCTCCTTAGCCTTCAGAGGCCCGACTCACACTTGCACACTTGTACCAGCAAGCACGTGTACACACACATAAATAAAACGGAAAGTTAAATCTTGAAAAAGTAAAGCTGCTTTTCAAGAGTAGGGGCAGATTTTAAACAGCCAAAATGATATCAAGGATAAACAGAAAATCTGAATCACTGCAAAAGTCCTCACTAAATATCATGGTATTCTAGATAATTAAAAAAAAAAAGGCCTAAGGAAAGAACACATGTGTAACACATGTACATACAAAACCTTCTAAAAATAATACACCAGGTTTGCAGTGCTGTAAGACACGAGATGTATTTCCAAAAGGCTAGCAATTGAACAATCCAAAACAAATTAGGAAAGCAATTCAATCTACAGTAACATCAAAAACGGTTAAAACAGTTATGACTGTAACAAATCTGAGACTTGTACATTAAAAACTAGGAGATGTAATTGGAAGACAGTGCAGCGAGACTTTCCGTGGCAATGGATCACAAGATATATTGTTAAAATGAAAGCAAAGTATGGTGGCATGTGCCTATAACCCCAGCATCCAGGAGGCTGAGGCAGGATTATATATTTAAGACCGGCCTAGATGAAGTATATCCTAAGGCAGCCTAGACCAACAAGGAGACTTTGTCTCAAGCAGTAAATTGTTAAAAAGAAAATAGTTCCCATATTAACGTATGCACAATCCCTATCAAAATTCCAGTTGGATTTTTACAGCTGTGAAGCTGACCATAAGGGTCACATAGAAATGCAAAGGAACTTAGAATATCTTAACACAGCTGTAAGGGAAAAAAAAAAAAAAAAAAAAAACCCGGACTAGATAATTTTGGCATAGGACAGAAATCTAAACCAATGAGATATAATTAGTGATTCCAAAGTCAACAAAATACATTATGGGCAGAAGTGTGCTATGATCACTGGATGGGCAATGTCCTTTTTAACCACTGGTCCTGACACAACTTACTGTGCACGTGCAAAATGATGAATTTATCCGTGCGTCAAGTAATATCTAAGTATGTGTTAGAGGGTGACGCAAAGATGCAGATAAAGGTTAAAATTACGATACACTTAGAACGGAGGCACAAACTTATGTGATCTTGAATGAGATAATGGCTTCGAGCAGAAAAAGCCAAGGAAATTAAATAAATTGGATTTCAATTAAGCTGAAAACTTAATGTGTTTCTAAGGACCATTGCACAGGATTGGACTCCAAGCCAAGAGTTTGACCGCACCTGTTCATCGAAGATTACCACAGCTGGGCTTGTTCAGCTCCCAACTCCCCTCCCCCCAACCCCATGATCTCTTTTGTAAGGAAAGGCCCAGAGGATCATGGGACCTGCACTTGAGTGAGTATCCAGCCACCTCCTAGCCAGTTGTGTACAATTCTGCCCTAATTGTGTGTAGGCTCGGGATCTCTAGAGGATGTAGGTAGGGAAAGCTGGGGGCGGGGCTCCAGATACACAGTTGTGGCAGAGTTGTTTGTTACCCACGCTGTGGCTGCTTTAAGTCTTCACATACCTGCCATACTCTCCTCTCCTGCCCGTTGCTCTGTAGGTAAGCCTTGAACAAGCTCCTGGATTTCCCAACGAGTTTGTCACTGGGGTTGTGGAAGGAGGAGGTAGGACAGCTACCCAAGGGAAGGAACTGTGGCGCCAGGGCACTAACAAGAAAGTGAAAGGGAATGTATGTCATGAGCCGGTGTGCCGATTTTATAGAGAACTCATAACTCAGTGATATAAAGTAATTCCATTTTAAAGTGAACAAATGGCCCAACTGTATATTTCTCCAGGTATACAAACGTTCCACAGCACATGAAGAGACACCCCAAGAGAGTCATTTGGAAAATGTTTAAAAAAAAAAACCCACAATAGGATACCCTTTTATTACATTACTCTCTATAGTAGAGAGAGAGATTAAAGAATGCAGACAAAATGTAAAGAAATTAGTATCTTCATAGATTGTGGGTGGGTGGTATTGTAAAATAAAACAATTGTTAGGAGAACGGTTTGGGGGCTCCTCAAAGTTTTAAACATGCAATTAGTACATGGTTGAACTATTCCACCCCTAAGCAGGTACACACACACACACATGCACGCACACATGTACGCATGCGTGCGCATGCACACACACACACATACACATAC